CCCCTAACATGACTATGGAGGGCTTCCATTGGTCCACCTAACCTCAAGCCGCATCCTGGGGTTATCTCTTCCCGTCCTGGAAGAAGCAGACTGCAGCTGCCCCAAGGCGTGCATTTATTGGACACAAGTCGGACCATGCTCAAGTCGTTCAACGACCTGCCTTGGGAGGCCAAAGAGTGATCGAAACCCGACGAAGATAGCACTCATGCGGGAACACCCCGTAACATGCGGCAACTACTCTCCTCACCCTTGATGGTGTCGCTGATGCTCCGATCCGACTCATGTATGTTCGCCATTCTCTCTGCCAAAGTCGGTGCATTCAGGGGCTGGACCTTGCCGTCGGTGATACACACCGACTGGAGGGAAAAGGACTGGTTGAGCCGTGCCGCATCAAGACTCTGACCGCTGAATCCCATAGGATCAAACAGGTCCTGGAGCTTGGTGGTAACAAACTGGCGAGTGGCTTCATCTGTCAACTCCAAGATAGCCTTGGAGGCGGACTTGATCTCGTGGGCCTTGCCAAGAACTAGAAGGTCAGCAGACATGGTAGGGGATGGTGCTGGAAGAAGTGTTGAAGTGTCGTCGGTGGGACAAATCAATGACTCAATGAACTGTCGGCAACAATGCTCTTGGGAGCGGCAACAACAGTGCAGTGATACTGCGCTAAAGGGAGGACCAACAGCAAAGCACCAGGCAAACAGAAATGGGGCTGGGGCTGGACAAAGCAAAGACTCAAAGCAACAGGAAAGCAACTGGAAGGGAAGCAACAACTGGGAGGCAGGCAACTGGAAGGCAACAAGAGGCAGGATGCAGTGGTCCAAACAGGGAAGGCTTGGTTGGAAGACTTTCAGGATTGGGATTATGAACCTCATAGTGTTGCACTGCAAGCCTGGAAGTGGGATGAACCAGGGCCACCAACCACAGTAGCCCAGGCTTGTACTGTTGCTGGTACGGATTGCACAGGCTTGACCCCTCACAAGGGGGGGGAGAGACAACAAGACATACCAGCCAGTAGCTTCGAACTGGGATTCCATTGCATATGAGTTCACTCATCTCTGACCAGGTGCCTGGTCAGGTACGCGCTGTCAGGATATCATGCGAGGTGTGGTGTGGCTGTGTAGTGTGTGGTGTGGAACAGTGGAACTGATCCCATACCACCACGGCAGTCTCGCGGTCGACGCAAGTTCATCGGTGGGTTGGATAGATTACATCGGGGCGTGCAAAGACTTAGAGGGACAGAGTCAGAGACTTAGAGGCCCCTATCTTCTTTTCAAGCATCGTCTTCGCGCACGGACTTTTCATGCATCGACTTAAAAAATTTCGAAGCGACCTGCAAACCGTCACCAAATCGGTCACGACTGACGTCGCGGACAAAAGATGAGCGTCGGCGGACTGACGTCATCGGATTCTGGATTTTTAAGCGGGGATGACGACCCATCACCAGTGCGAAGCATAAGGGACACCAATCTTTTGCAGGAGAGCAAGACTTGGCGGGCGTCGGGGAGACTTTAGGGGCCGATCCAGTCGAGGATCCTTAAGGCGATCTGGTGTTGTGTTGTTGGAAATCGCGAAAAGAAAATTCGCGAAGATCCAGATCGACCATGGCCTCTGGATTCGGACGGGACGCATGCGACCAACAGCGGGAGAGCTTGGGTGGGGCACCAGTCGGGGACTCGCCGTTGGTGGCTAGCGATCACCAGGTGGTGACGCATCATGGGCAATGGCTAGAGAAGCCGAGATTGGTGGGAGCACCAGTCGGTTGACTCGCCGTTGGGGCAGCGAAACACCATGGCGGTGAACGCATCATAGCAGGCTAGCAGAAACACCAGGTGGTGAACGCATCGGCCAGAGGTTCTTTCGTTGTGGAAAAAGCACACGAAGCCTCGTGTGGAAAAGCACAGAACAGGAAAACACACGGTTTCGGTCTCGTGAAAAGACACGAAAAAGACCTGTCGATCGATCGAACGATCGGTCGTCGCTCCAGTCGGAGCACACCGCTGGAACCGGCTAGTAGCAGCTGTAGTGGCTGGCTAGAAGACGCAGTAGTAGCGTAGCTTGTAGCCGTTCATTCAAAAAGAAAAGGACGCCAACTTGTCCTCTTCGATTGGTGGCTACATGCAATGTGTGGCTTGGATTGGCTTCCACCCGACATCCCCTTGAAACCCTAACTCTATCTACGGTGACGTACCAGTCCAGGCAGGAGCAAGTGTGCTTCCACATTGCTCTGCTTAGAGTCATGGCGATAGTCTTCAGGCCTGCTCCTGGACCGTCCGTCATGGGGCCTACTCCTGGACTTACGCCTGGTCCATCTCCATGACCCACCTACTCCTGCATAATCTCCAGGCCCCAACCAGGAATACTTGCTGGAAATATTGGTGTTGCTTTTGTCGGCACACGGTATTCCTCACTGATAAGAGCTACTACTAGCTAGCTAGTCACTTAGAGGACGACGGGTTAGGATAAAAGGGAGCTGCCGACAATTAAACTTGTCTAACCAAAAGCCGATGCCGTCGCCGCTACGAAGAGCCCTCCTCCTGCCTACTGGAAGTTTCCTGTCCACTCGAGAACTGTAGCAGCTTCGGGACATAGACGATAGCCGCGAAGATGACAAAAGAAGCGTAGAGGTGCTGAATCAAGGGAACCAGTTTTTGTTGGAATCCGATCCACACGACAAGCACAACGTGGCAAAACAGCCACACCGCCAACACAAGCCAAATGAAGTGCTTGGCCGTCATCCTTTTCCATGCGGCCTTCGTCCTTCTCCCTGCCGTGTCCCACCAGGGTTGACGAGTTTCTTTCAAAGATCTTTTCATAGCCAGCCGAAGCATTCGGTCCTCCTGTTCTGCCATGAGCATGTCGTGGGTAATCAGGGTTTCCCAGGTGCGGTGGCCTGTGGACGAGGCTGCAATCTCTTTTTCTGATGTGCTCCATACGGGTTTCAGCATTCCCTTGGCCATGCGGAAAGTGGATCCAATGCACCCACCCGTCTTCACCACACGGGCTTCGTCTTTCGTGGAAGAATCGCGAAGGTTTCTCGCGCATCTAGCGGCATCTTCGTAGACCTCTAGTTCTGACATTCCCAACTGATAGATTTTGATCAAGTCCAAGAAGCGACGTCCATCTATCTCTAATTCGTACTTGAAACTAGAAGTATCGTTGGATCGGAGCAAAGAGGGCCCTTTGAATCTATCCACCGTGACAAGGGTAACCCTCATGGGGAGCCCATCCACTTCAAAAATGAATTCCACCGAGTCTTTGGAACTGTAGTTGTCGCATTGGATCTCATCGAGGTTCATAGGGTGGCCATCGTACCAGGCTTCATAACTGGTGGTAGCCTGGTCCCAGTAAATGATCAGCTCATGTTCCTCACCTCGACAAGCTGCGCCCCGCAATCCCCTCGCTATGGCAACTGGATCCGAGATGCCAAACACCCATCGCATCAAATGGCGGAGCGGTGGCGACAAGAGACCCCCACCGGTCACTCGAGCCGAATGATCGACTCGATAAAGAGCCACGGGGACTTGAACAGCGGTAGCTGCCCCCGTCATGGCAGCAGTATTTTGCTGAGAGGACTATGAAGAGCGGTAAAAGATGATGTTGGGTGCACGTTGCAACATGAGGGGTGAGGAGCAAGGGTGGCGTATCGGTATTAATAATAGGGCGGACTTGAGGACGAGAGGGTTCAGTCGTGATTTAGGTCGTGCTTTCCTGGGCCATGGGATACGGTATGGGATTCGATATTGATTCGGTCAGCATCGCTATTAATACCGGTACCGATGTTTGCTCGATCCGCTTCAGTGGCATTCGGAGTGGCAGATACAGGGTCTTCGTAGAGATCGTGCAAAGCGAATGTTGTCATTATAATATGCAGCCTCTGCACAGTGTCCCAATTGGTGAGATCCACAGCAT